ATGGAGCTGGATTCAGGCCCCGGGGCCAGCCTGGGCCCGCTGCCGCCTCCTTCCTGCCCCCTCCTCCCCCCATCGTGGAGAGCGGGGTGGGCGCCACGTTCTGGGGCAGCCATCGGGGCACAATGCGGGATGGCTTATCTGCCCCTGGCTGCTAGCCTGAGCCTTATAAAAGCAAGGAAGAGAGAAACTAACTCTCTCTCTCTCTGTTAGTAACCAGCATTACACCACACGGAGGGAACTGGAGACTCCAACAGAACAGCTAAGGATAACTTGCTTAGCTTTCCAAGTAAGCAGTTGCTTTAGTAGCCTCAGGGATGTTGCATAACTTGCTGACGCTCGCTTTAATAAATCTCACAAACCCCTAGCATAAGTAACTCAGTTAATGCTTTCCAGCTCTTCACAGTGCATTATTGGCATTTGCTTTGGGATTGAATTAGGCAATTTCTAATGTGCAAATATCTTTGAATTTAGCTGCTTTTTTGTGTGCGTCTCTTGCATATGCAGTCTTCTGTGCTGTCACTTTAGTGGTTTACTTCCAGCTGCCCTGTGCAGGTTGATACATCCATATAATTCCTTGAATGAGTAATAACACTTTATTGGGGGGGTTATTTTACTAGTTTGTCATTCTCCCGTTTTACATAATCAGTAGCATTATAAACTTTAGACTCCTAAACTGTCTTCCTGACATTGCATCTCCTGTCATCAACCCACCTGCTCTAAGATTATTTTAAACTCTATAAATTGTTTCAATTGTTTCTAGCCCAGTTACTGAATACAGAGTGCCTTTAACACTTCAAAGGAAGACATTCTCCCAATGCAGTAGCAATGGTTTGGCCCTGTGGAGTTACAGACTGGTATAGTTGCCATAATGTATCAAATGTGATTTTTTTTTTTTTTTTTTTTTTTAATGTATATGGATAATACATACTCGCATCCCAAATGATCTGCTGTGTTAGTGACCACAAAACACGTGGTTATCCTTCTTCCTCCTAGTCTCATTGCTGTTGTGGCACCAAATTTCAGTCCCTCTTTCACCTCCTGCTGGTGATGGCCAGCATGAAACTCTTTTAAAGATCATAGCTTTTGACAGGAAGGAAAGGGGATTGAAGGCCTGAAAAGGGAACAGAAGAGATCTAAACGAAAAAAGATTTTAGACTCCTTCCCTTGGTTCCTCTTCTGTTCTACTTTACAGTGCCATTAGAGCAGGGGTTGTCAACCAGGGGTAGGCGTACCCTCAGGAGTACTTGGCAAGGGGCTAAGTGCAGGCAGGTGAGGATGGAGCACCACCACCCTGTGCTACTGCCTCCCTGAAGCAGGGTGGGGGGGGTGAGGGCAGCGGCTCCCCTCTGTGAGCTGCACAGTCCCCCCCAGTCTGTGTGTGTTTGGTTGCTCTCACACACACACACACACACTTTCTTTCTCTGTCCACCAGAAGTGTGCCCAGAAGGTGTACACTCCTTAAAAAAGGTTGATAACCCCTGCATTGGAGGATTCCTATGCAAATGTTTACAACAGTGCAGGCCAGCAAATCACAGGCCTGCGTTCTAAGTCTTTTGGCCACCTTGTAAGTGCTTAAGTCCTACAAGTTACTTGATCAGTGAATAGAATGTGAGTAAGCAAACCAAATACACAAGTGATGTTTAAACAGGATTTTTTTTGACTTGGCCTTTTGAAGCATATTGGGGATAGAAATCAGAAGTCTTGCATATTAAGCTGGGTACCATGATAAATATTTGCTATTCAACAGTGAATGAGGCCCAAAGAGTAAAATTGTATAACTGTTCTTTTTATCTAAATCCCTAAAATGTAAAGAAACCATATAGAGCAAGTGATGCACTTTAGTAGTTCTTGTCTTGCAAACTTGCTTGTGGCTTTTTCTACCTCTTGTTTTCTCCTTATGGAGCTTAACCTCACCCATATCCCATTAGTAAAATTTTAAAAATCATAGTTATTGACATGACTGTAGAGTTGGGAGAAAATATGGGATTCCATGGGTAGCTTCATAGGTATTAGTTGGTATATGTGAGCACAACCTACAACATGCAGTTTGTCACTCCCAGCAGCCTAGAGAAAGGTGGCTGTCTGTTATATATGGGCAAGGAATGAATGTAAAGCGGGGTAAATATCAACTCATCCTGCTTGTGTATGTGTGGTTTTTCTTTTTGTCCCCTCCTTAGGTTAAAAGGAACAACTGAGTTAGAGCACTCTTCCAAAATGGCCACCCTCAAGGAGGACCGAGACGTTGAAGACTACAAGAGGAAAGGGAGGCGATCTTCACAGGTGCGGTATTTATTTTTAAAGTTAATTCTGGATATCTTATGAGTAGATGAGACACTGGTTTATAAAACAGAATTTTACCAGGCTACGCTTGCTTGAATTTGCTGACTTCTTGCTGACCCTCCCTTCAAAATAAACCTACCTCTAAAGGCATCAACACTCAATCTGGTAAAACTAGGGGTTCTGAAGACGCGTATTACAGTCTCAGTAACAGAATGGAAGAAAAGATTGCTTCTTTGTTTTGCCATATCAATAAGTTGTCCACAATCTTTTCTTCCAGTCTGTTACTAGGAGATTTTATAGTCGTGTCTTCAGAACCCCTTGTTTTGACAGGTTGAGTATTGATGCTTTTAAAGGACAGGTTTATTTTGGGGAGAGGGTCTCAGCAGTAAATTAATGAGTTCTTCAACAGTAACCCTATCAGCTCTTGGTCTTAAGAACTTTTCCCTGTTTTCTTGGTGAGAACAAAGACTGTGTCTAATTAAAAACCATTGAAGAAAGAAATAACCTTGCCTCTAGTAAAATGAGCCATGTCCCATTGTTTTCAGTAGGAAGCCCTTCTGGCCTTTACTGGACATGAGATGTGAATGTGTTGGAGGGTAGAGGCAGACAAGTGAAAAGTGATAGGTAGGGATGCTAATGTGGGGCAGGAAGAAACTAGTAGAGTAGGGACAAGCTATAAATAAATAAATGCTCCTCTTCCAGAAATTGGGAGCAGATAAACTTAATCCTCTCCCAAGGAGCAAGGTCTGTGCTTGTGTGTACACCTGAAGTTGGAGCTCAGATTTGTCTGCTGAAGGCACGGGAGCTTCTCTCCCACTCTTTGACTTAACCAAGAACAAAAAAGAGTCAGAAGACATACCAGTAATTGGAAACCAGCGTCTTTCAAAGATACGAGTTCTGAGTCTGGGCCAGCTTTTTAACTCTGGAAAAATTAAACATTACAAACTAGATAAGTTTTCTTCTTTCTTGGTTAAACATTTCTTGTAGTCAAGATGTGGCACTATGCTGCAAAGGAAAATATTTTAGCTGACCATATCTGGAGTAGAGTTCAGATCTTACAAAAAAAAGAAAGTTTTGTTTACAAATTGGGATGCTCTAAACATTGTAACATTGTGGTACTCTTGCTTCCTTGGCTAGAATGTAGCTACTCCTTTGAGACACTTGGTAGATTCAGAAGGTAGTTCAGCTGGGTGGTAAGAGTGATTGACTCTGGGCAGACACTGTTCTGTTCTTTAGGTAAATGGATACCTTTAGACCAATTAGAACAGCTGGAAAAATTCTTCTTTGAGTAATTGAACACCCTTCTCAGGCGGAGGAAGCATCAGCAGATCTCTTTTTAGCCTGGGAAAGTGGCTGGGAAATTATTTCCAACAAGAGTTGATTCCTGTAAGCCTGCTGAGGAATGCAGGCATTGCTGGGGAGAAACTGCTCAGTTTGGGGCCAAAACATAACTTTTAAAAAATTTCTGGGAGATGGTGCAGTCTGATCACTGAATGTCACTGAGCTACTGTGCAAAGCTGTCGGGGAGGGCGCTTCAAGCGTCGGCTTATTGTCGCCGGGGTGTCGGCCTTGCCGTGGCTCCCGCGGGGGTTTTAGCGGGAGCAGAACTGGGGAGGAGGAGGCAGAGCTGTGCTGGCTGCGCGTGCGCCGCTGTGGCCGGCTGTCACGTGACCCTCGCGGCTAGGCTCCATATTGCGGGTGAAGGAGGCGAGTCCGGACACAAAATGGAGGCGGTTGCTGCTGCCGCGTGGGGGC